CTTTTTTGTTTTCTGGCCTAGCAATACTATTGTTTCTTAGCAAAGACGTCACAGCTATAGGTGAGCCCTATAGTTCACAAGAAAGCATCCCTTATTGGTGCTTCCAAGCACATGTATAGGTGAGCAGAAGCAGAGATGTCCTATTACAAGAGGCTCATTGTGTTCTCAAGCAATGTAATTGGTCTTTAAGCACTGTAACCTTTTATGGATCAGGAGCTAATGTAGTCCCTTTGCATTGGCCTGGTATAAACTCTATGTACTATAATCTATTAGTATGAATTATATAGCGTTCTTCCTGTGTATAGCAAGTGGTTCTCTTTCCTACCTATATGTGGATATTCCTAAACCTACTATGAACCCATAATATGCTTTATTATTCAGTTAAACAGAGGGCCTTCAGTCAAATAGAGTGCCTGCCTTAGAGTGAAGCCTGAATAAAAAGGTATGCGAAATCTGTCTGTGCTAGCACACTTCCTTTAACTCCCAGTCAATCCTCTGTTTTCCAGTCATGGTACTTTCCCAGTCAGGGCTTCCGGGTGTTTCCCTAGTTAAAAACAAATGTTAATCAGGTGGTTTCCAGACTAATATTGATCCTGATGGTCAGCCCCAGTTTGGTGCAGCGGTTAAGTGTGCGGACTCTAATCTGGGAAAACCGGGTTTGATGCCCCACTCCTCCACTTGCACCTGCTGGATGACCTTGGGCAAGCCATAGTTCTGATAAGAGCTGTTCTTGAAAAAGAGCAATTTCTGTCAGAGCTCTCTCAGCCCTACCTACCTCACAGGGTGTCTGTTGTGGGGAGGGGAAGGGAAAGGAGTTTGTAAGCCGCTCTGAGACACCTTTGGGTAGTGAAGGGCGGGGTATATATCCAATCTCGTCTTCTCTTCTTCTTCTATCTCATTAAACAAGAGCTGTTAGCCAGCATCCTTTCTCCTATATTCAAGGCTCCGAGTCGTTCTGCCAAGAAATCTGTTTTGCAAAAGAAATGTCCTTTGGGATATTGAGCAGCTGTTTTTCTCCAGCAGAAGAATTTGTAATCCGGGTGAAAGTGACACAGGCCTCTTTTAAGATGACAAACAAGCCTTTAGCAGAGGCCTGCTCTATCCAGGCTTCTTATTCAGAATCCATGTTAACATATAGCCAGTGCATACATGTAAGGCATAACCTGAAGTCCTACACCATGCTTTGGCATCCAATGACCTTGATTAGGTACGTATCTAAGATCGAGCTCCTGAGATGCAAGCCTGCCTTTAATACACAATACAGTTCCATGAACAACAAATTGGAACTACAATTTTGATTGTCATCACCACTGACAAACCCACAATCAAGGCCATTGGATGCCAAAGCATGTCCTAAAGTTTGCACTAACATCAGCTATTGCAGCTACAAGAAAGAGCCACAAAGGAGGGGCTGTGGCTCAGTGATAGAGCATCGGCTTGGCATGCAGAAGGTCCCAGGTTCAATCCCCAGCAACCCCAGCTCAAAGGGGCAAGTAGTAGGTGATGTGAAAGACTTCTGCTTGAGACCTTGGAGAGCCACTGCCAGTCTGAGTAGACAAGACTGACCTTGATGGACCAAAGGTCTGATTTAGTACAAGGTAGTTTTATGTGAATGTGATGATATCCCAGAGCACTGCCAGCGACAAAGAGGAGATGCAAGGCGGTAAAACACAGAAAAGGCTCCGTAGAGTGTGAAGGCAGAGTTCTCCAGCTGAAGGACCTCAAAGAACGGGTGGAGACAACTCTACATCAGACCATGAAGGACTGTTTCCAGTTAGAGAAGACAACACTGAGCCATATAATTCAAGGATAGATTTGTATTTCACTGTGTTCAGGGATATCTGCATTGCCTGGATATTTCTCCCACAATATGTACATAAATGATCCATCATTAAATCATCTCTCTCACAGAAAAGTGTGTCTGACCCTAGATTAGAACACAGTCTGAGATTTACCACAGAGAGGGGGTTTATTTCAGCCTTCCCAGCCCATCTAAATTCTCATGAAAACAAATGAACTCTGGGGAGGGTGATATTTTGTGAGCTGCCAAGTGGACGTGAGATGGTCTAGCAAAGCCACCTAAGATACTCAACAGAAGGACTCACAGCCTCATAAGAACATAAGAGACGCCAATGTTGGATCAGGCCAAAGGCCCATCCAGTCCAATACTCTGTGTCACACAGTGGCCAGAAATACCAGTGCCATCAGGAGGTCCACCAGTGGGGCCAGGACATTAGAAGTCCTCCCACTGTTGACCCCCCCCCAAGCACCAAGAAGACAGAGCATCACTTGCCCCAGAGCCTCTATCTATACCTTGTGGCTAATAGCCACTGATGGACCTCTGCT